TTTTTCTCTACACCAATACTGTACACACTCAAGTTATACAGAGCATCCAGTGACCTTATGACAGCACTCTAAGGATCTTATTCCTGACATCATTCCCAGTTAGAAATGTCACATGAACATAGGTAAGATTCTCTAATTACAGAGCTAGGGATATTTTAAACTTGGTCTCTGACACTAAGAATATGGCGCTGAGGAGAACGGTGAATATTTGGACCTATGAGGGCTGGAGAAAGTTGCGCAATGAGAAACTTCAAATATAATTAGGCTTATCAAGTCAAGGATGATGAGATGGGCAGATCATGTAGTCTGCAAGGGAGAGAAGAGGAATGCATACAAGGTTTTAGTGGGCAAACCAATTGGAACCCTAGACGTAGGTGGGAGGATAATATTAAAATGGATATTAGAAAAATAAAATTAGATGGTATGGAGTAAATTCATCTGTTTCAGGATAGGGACCAGCGGCGGGCTCTTCGGGTTCTATAAAATGTTGGGAATTTCTTGAGTGGCTGAACGACTGCTGGCTTCTCAGAAAGCACTCAGCTCCATAGCGTAAGTAAGGGATATTTGAAATTTAAAATTATTTTAAATTTATATAAAACATTAGTCATTCATGCATCTTGAATGACACACAATACAATGACAGACGTACTTCCAGAATGATCAAACACCTAACATTTCAGTTGACACATTGACGGAATACCTGAATGAGCAGTTCCATGATCGATGGAACGATATGGTGGTCTGCAAACACAGACACCAGACCTCACTCCCCTATACTTCCATTCAAAACATGGTGTATGGATGCAAAGCAAACAGAAGAGAGAAACTACATCATCGATGCTGCAAGATACATGAATCTTGTATTTCAAATATCCACAGGTCCATAAAAGTGAAGAATCAGACCCATGTCCATATGACATTTCAGACAAGAAATGACCTCAGGAATAAGATCCTGGCAAAATGACATAAATCACTGGACACTCTGCATGTTATAAGTCCATAAAGCATACTATAGCCCATAAAACCAACATCAACAGTTACCAAAATACAGCATAAACTTACGGATACATTTAGAATGTATAGAGTATATAGAATCTGCACAATAAGATCACAAAATTTGAATTTAATACATCCAACTAAAGGAAGAGAGAACCACTCAGACAAATTGGATTACATACTTGATCACTCAAGTGGTAAGGTTAAGAGGTTAAAACAGTAGTGAAAGACTATAAATTTGAACATACCTAGGTAACCATTCTGTTTGTAGAAACTGTTCACCCATTCATTCTGTGATCTGGAGTATATGGAAGGAATATACATACTGCTTCCGCTTTGCTGCTTCCCTGTAATGACACCTGCGACTTGCTTTGTCTCCATCAGATTACCAATTATAGCTGAAAAATTGATTTAGTTATAATTGTGCAAAGAATTTTGACAGAAAGTACATACATAAACACAGTACAATTTAAACTGAATATGATTTAAGTTTTTATTTCCAACTCTAGCACTCCACTATAAGAGACTTGTAACTTAATTTCTGAAAGATAACCTGAAAAAATTTGGATGCACGTTTCAGAACCACAGATATTTTCAATATTTTATCGCAAGCACTGAAAGTTTTCATATATTACTCTCACCTTTAATATTATTAGCATACAAGAACTTACACTAAAGGTGAAGAGAGATTAATAAGCTGTTTATTGAACCTTATCCTAAGCCACATGAATTCAGTCCACATCCTCAAACCACGACACTTCAATTTTTGTGACTAAAATCTTATAAGCATTTCTCATCCCTCTCATACATACTACATCTTCTGCCTATCTCATCTTCCTTTGTTTGATCACGCTAATAATGTCTGAAGAGTACAAATTGTGAAGAGTGTCATTACACAATGTTCTGCAGCCTTAGGCAGATTACAGACTAAACATATTTTCTTCTTCTTCTATGGCCTCCTCACTAAACATATTTTACTTTAATTTATTTATTTCATATCCAAATACACACCATTCAGAGTAAAAATCATTAAATAGAGTAATATTAATAACATAGAAAAAAAAGGAGGCTGGGGAAAATTTAGTATAGAATAAATATAAAAGTAAATTTACAACATATATACAAAACTATATTTGAAACCAATATTGGGCATGAACTTTAATAAATTACTGGTTAACTCACAATAAAACAGCCTTTCTTCGACTCCACATTGACTAAGTAATGTTGCTACTGATATGGGACGCAGAGCAGCAGCTAAGGCCCCTCTAACACACGCTTGATTGCGAGCCACATATGATTCAGTGAAGAACACCTGAGGATCGGTCTTATCTTGTTTTCCATGGATTGTCTTTCCAAGCTGTTTCTCAACCACCTGAATACAATTTTAGACAGTAACTAATTTAAGGTAGGATCTAAATAAGCATGTCTTATGATTCAGCTATGCAGTTACTCTGAATAATAAGTTTACTCCAACTTCCTGTAACAACAGTAGAAAGATGTACTCCAACAAAACACAAACCATGATAGTTTAATATAAGCATAACATAAAGCAGGCTTTATATGAGACTTACGTGGACCAAAATAACACTCTCCTGACAAATTTTAGTGTATACCCCCAGTATGAAATTTAGTATAGATCTGTCAATATTATCCTTCTAGGTTGTAATGACATATGGACTTGTAGGCAGATACCAATGGTTCAAAGAAAATTTCTGTTTCCATCTTCAGCCTCCAGACAGTATGTTCCTCTGAAACACTGGTATCTACCAAAAAGTCCACATGATGATAAAATCCAGAAGACCAACAATGATACCCTGAATGCCATAAAAATCTCAAATCTCAGTTAATATAAATATGTTCAGCAGTTTCAAAACTGAAACAAGCTAGCAGACAAATACAAGTGGACAAACATATAGGCACAACCTCCTAATGATTCATTTTATGCACTTCATGCAAATAATATAAAAAATGCATATTTTCACAATACTGTACATACTACAAGTTGCTAAGCACAGCAAAGACATAGACAAAGGTACATGGATCACAGATAGGCATAATATTCCACGAGTACAACTTTTGTATTTCATAAAACAAGCATACCGTAACTAGTTTTTTTCCAGATATAATATTTACCGTCTGTAAGAAGTCGCTAGGCAAATCATATTGTCTTGTGAGGTCACTAATTGTGACCTGACCTTGCTGAAGCAACCTTTCATTAACTTCTTCTGCAATGCGACTGACATATGTCTTATCAATTAACTGGCCAAGAACCAAGGAACAATTCTGATCTGTTCGTTCAATTTCAGCGGCCCTTGCTGAAATCTGATTCAGGTCAACACTGAGCAACTTCACCAGGTCCACAAGATTGATACGACCTAAAATTAAAAACAACTTGTAATTACACAAATGTCAGATTTCTTTATCCAGTCTCTGTAATATCTAGTATAAAGTTATGAACCCTGTTATGAAAATTCAGATTCCTTAAACTTTCATACAGCTAGTTCAATACCATTCTCTTCTTCTTCAAAACCATTTTCCTTCTCATAAAAATTAAACATTTAAGTCTTCAGAAGGAAGATAATTACATACCAATACTGCTTCAAGTAAAAAAGGGTGTTCCAAGAGCCTAAACATGGTAGCTTTTGCTGCCAACAACTAGCATTAAGAGAAGCAATAAGAGTTGATCATTAGCGCTGACAGTTTCTTAACATGGTAACATTTTCCAAGAGTTAACAATGAGTATGTTTTTTCTGGCAACTAGCAAGCTGATGGCACATGACAGTGGTGAAAGCTTTTTAACTTGTACAATAGTTTCACAACACACGGGTCCTTTTGGGTTAAAGAATATAAGCCACAGAATAAACACGAAACTTGATCCATACAATCAAGCTGCATTTCTATCGCAGCTATGGATGCAAACACTACATAACTAGTTCAAAACATACTGTAATACTAAAGTTGAAAAGTAATACCTCCATGTACGTAAAGTTCATCTCGAATTTCTCGAGTAAGCTGCTGCGGTGTAACATATTCCTTTCCATCTGTTGTAAACACCACTTCAAGGAGTTTCAAGTCCAGAAGTTTCGTGACAATTTCAATGCAGTTTCTTTCTGACAGCCTGGAATAAAATCATGTATATTAAATTATATGGCATATCACATTAAATCTATTTAAACCAGATGACAAAACTCCAGATATACATAAATAGGCATGTTAAATATATTTATTTGTTACCCTAATTTTTAAACGTAGCTGACTGCTACATCACCTTTGAACAGTGGAAGTTAATTGAGCTCTTTGAAAATCTGCAGCTAAACGCTTAACTTCATCCCATTCCACGGCTGTCATGTTGGCAAATATCACTTACGATCAAGCTCGAAATTTGCCTGCACGTAGCTCCCCACTAAATCCCATCACGTTTCATATCATTGTAGGTAACGAGAATGGCGAGAAACAAACGAACGGGACATAGCGAATTCAGAGGTACCAACATTATAAAAAGATACATGTGGCATCTAGTTTGTGATGCATGTGGTTACCCACAGGGTTGTAATAAGCCTACGAAAAATAGACTTTAATTTGGTCAATTTCTGTTGTGTTAAAAAAATGGCAGCAAGCGAAATATTATCACGTTTAGAAACAAATGCTATCACCGCTGAAAACATGATTAAAAAATTAAAGTTAGAGGTATTCATTTCAATTTTTAGTAGTAGGTTATATTTCTTATATTGGACATAGTCGTTGTTGCGGTATGTATTTAGTAATAAATTGAATACGCATAAAAGGGGAGAATTGAAGTAAATAAGTTGTGAACTGCAGCTTATTGTATGTATGACAGATTGGTCTTATCTGTTAATAATTTAACCTAAAAATTACAGACTGAGATTCTTTAGAAAAGGGCATGTGCCTTAGTTGTATTAAGTTTTGCCAAATTTTTAATGGAAAGCAGATTGCAGTCGGATGATCAGTAGACAGCAATGGTTGGAACACTATTCATATATATCAGAGTTATGGTGTTTGGCTTACAGAACCTGAAGGTTCATCACTGAACTCACCAGACCCTGTCCTGGGCCAACAAGATCCAGTCTCCTTCAACTCCTATCTCCCGTAGATCCTGCTTGAGATTATCCTCCCATCTATGTCTAGGTTTGGTAGCTCATCACATGAAATTTAACTTTCTGCATTGGTGTTCATGGAGGTATTGTGTTAGTATTGTAACTGAAATAACACCTAATGTGTGGCATACAATTTTATGTCTCTCTAAGTTAATCTTATGTAACTTCACCTATGCTTTAAAAAAAGCCAAACCAAATCAAACTTATCTATTACGCTTGCAACCTTAAGCTAAGGCAGCAATACTTTGGCTCTGTATAATATGGACTATGGCCAAATCCCTTGCCTGAGTGGAAGTTGGTGGGAAAATGTTGAGTCAGTAGTAGAGCTTTTTAAATTGAAAATTAATGGTTACTAAATATTGAAGTTTGAGTGAATTAATGCCATGTTATTGTGTTTTGTTTCCCAAAATGGGACCAAACAATATACCATCAGCCGCTTTTTAAAGACTGGCACTGCCATTTATTTGTATTATGTAAAGGATCAAGTGGTGTCAGTATTACATTACTGGCTGAGCATATGACCCATAATTGTTCATGAGAATTTAACTTTTTGTATTAAACAGTAATAAGCTTATTACAGCAATATCTTTGCAGAAGCTGGCTCTGCTTCTTTTCTTCAAGCACCAGACTCTGTTGTTAAAAGAAACCAAAGTAACAGTAGCTGAAGCCAGTTTCCTACCAAACGTACCAGCACAAAATCAAGTGCCTGACTGCAGATTCCCACCACACACAGACTGCCAAACTCCACCATAGCCTTGTTTCCATTTCTTAATTTTATACTTGTAATAATCAACCAACAGGCATGATGTTTGGTATAATTTTGCTCATAAAATGAATAACATATTAATTATTTAACTCAGACATTATTATTTAAAAACATAAATTTCAATTTAAAAGGCTCTGCCAGTAACTCATCTCTTGCCTAGCAGGTGCAAGCTGAACCTGGTGGAAGTCCATGTTGCTATGGAACAACATTATTTTATGTGTTGGTCTCGGCCTAGGGTGTCCAGTGCTATATCAAGAAGCACTGTGGTAAAAAAAAATTGCCCTGGAACATGGCATGGCATGGGGACCAAAACCATATTCTACAAGCTCTTATTTAACATAATATATTTATAACTAACCACTTGAATTTTAGCATTATGAACTTTAAAGTTTTCCTATTAGGTATAAGAACATGCAACTTACACTTCTAATTTAGTGACATGTTGAAGATGTTGAGGTACACACAAAAAACAGTGTTGTACAAGATGGGATAGGTTTTATGCTAGGAATAGTTCCATGTAAAAGGCTTGCAGTAATACTGCCAAGGAGTTGGAAATTTATGTAATAGTGAGCATTCTCAGTCATTGGTGACAGACTAGATCAGGAGTGGAAAAATAAAAATAAAAAATGAAAAATTATACAGGAGTTTCGTATCTGCGAGACCTTCAGTGAAATTTATTAAAATGTTGTATAAAACAGTATAAACTCCACAGAATAATGATATGTTATCAACTGTAAATAACAAGTGTGCATCAATTAATTAACTTACAGAATAATTGCAGAACTAGTTTACAAGTTTGATAACTATGAATAAGCAGTTCTGTTTACCATTTGGAAAACTGAGGAATGATGGAATGATAACATTAACCTGGATTTGAGGGAGATAGGTGATAGAAGAACTGGTTTGGGATTATGTATACTGTTGGGATTTAGTATGAGAAATATCGAACCTTTGGATTGCGCTACCAGAGATTTATTTGGTTATTTTATGTTCTATTTTGCTATTTCAGATTGCTGAAGTTAAAAGGTTATCAGCTGAAGAGAAAAATAAGACAAGAGTAAAAGCACTTGAAGCAGAAAATGAACAACTAAGAAAAGAAATTGAAGAATGGAAAAATAAATTAATTAGATTAGAAACTGCAAATGGAATTAAGCAGGTAATCTTTCAACAAAAGTGCTTTAATATCTTCTCCTTTATATTTTTATTTTAACTAATTTAATATTTGTTACCCAAGGTACCATTACCTTCAAACATGATCAGTATATCACAACCTGATATTAAACCTATTAAGATGAGTCCACCAGCAGAGGAGATTCCTAAACCAGTGGCATCCAGTGAATCAAATCAGCAGCATTGTGATACGGCAAATAAGAAAAAGAAACCTGTTGAAGGAAAGAAGGCTAAGAGTGGAGGTACTAGTGAGGGAGCCACATTAGAGGAACCCCCAGTTGATGTTGGAAGACTAGACTTCAGAGTGGGTCGTATCATGTCAGCAAAGAAGCACCCAGATGCAGATTCACTATATGTGGAAGAGGTTGATGTTGGGGAAGAAAAGGCACGGACAGTGGTAAGACCTTGTTTATAACAATTGGTGTAAAATACATGAGTATAAAAAATTGTATTTTACAATGAGAGTAAATTGTTTTGTTTTGTTTTCTTGTAAGGTGCCCTTTATTTTCTGATTTAACCAAAATTGGAATGAAAAATTAAAATCCCTTCAGTAATTCTTAAGATTTTACATTTGGACACACGAACAAATACCAATACCAGTACACGTTTCAGCCTTAACAGACCATCTTCAGGTGGTTCTCTTTGAATGGCCCTTATATTTTGTGTGAGTGGTTTGGATTTATTAGGGGCTCCTTTACAACTCTTGACTTTTACTTTTTCATTCTTCTTCTCATTTAAGTGTTTTTGTATTTTCTTACTTCATGTTTCTTTTGGTCAATGCATAAATGTCCTCCCTGTTTAAGCACCTCTTATGTTCTTTGTGTGATTTAGGTCAGTGGACTCGTAAAATTCGTACCTGTGGGAGACTTGCAAAACCGTCTTGTTGTTCTGCTCTGCAATCTGAAACCAGTGAAGATGCGAGGAATAACTTCTGAAGCCATGGTGATGTGTGCAAGTACTCCTGAGAAAGTTGAAATTCTACTACCTCCTGCTGGCAGTATACCAGGGGATGAAATACATGTGGAGGGTTATCCTCGAGTGCCAGATCCTGTTCTCAATCCTAAGAAAAAGATTTTTGAGACTGTGGCTCCAGACCTGAAAACAAATTTAGAAAGAGTTGCAACATACAAAGGAGTTGCATTCACTGTCCCTGATAAAGGTGTTGTAACCACACCCAGTCTTGTTGGTGTCAGTATTAAATAATGGTGGTGATAGAGCTTTCTCTAAGAAAGATTGAGTATTAATTCATGTGCCTTCAAAATTAAGTATCATGTTTTGTTTGCAGTTGTTCACAGTATAATTTGCTGTAAAGCTAAGGAGAGTTCTGAAATAAAAATGCAAGTGTATAAAATAAATAGTATTACCTTTCATATTTGATTTTAGTGTCAAAGATGTAATTTCTTTACCACTTTTCATGTGCTTGAACTATGCTTTAACAATCATTACACATTAGATCAGGGGTCGTCAACCTGGTCCCTACCACCCACTAGTGGGCGATTCAAGCTTTCATGGTGGGTGGTGGGGGTTTTTGTCCGTTGTTACAAATTTTGTTCTTCCTCCATATATCGAATACATTGCTAACAACTTCGTGAGTTTGACTTTTGAAAATATGCTTTTGCAATTTACTTTAGAATTCCATCTCTAAACTTTAAATATAGATAATAATTTACCAGACACTTCTCGAAGTATACTTGTGGACGAGGGAGCAACAAATGAGCTCCGTAGCCAAAGGCATGAGTTTAGTGCAAATAATGAGGGCGGGGCTTACCACCGGCCATCACTCAGTCTTCGAGCTGTACCTCTTTCATGGTGGTGGGCCATACGTGCGGCACCGGTGGGTGGTAAGGAAATTTTACCATAACAAAGATACAAAAGTGGGCGGTAGGTATAAAAAGGTTGACAACCCCTGCATTAGATGGTGGGCATTATATTTATTTGTAAGCCATATACATCTATCTCAAAATAACCTCAGACCAGAGAACCACATGAGAAAACTCTGTAATTCAAAATAACTGTTAAATATCTATCAGTTATTTATAGTGAATGTACACAGTATAAAGTTATATCAAACTAAATAAGTGCTACATTACTAATAATTAATTCAGGCTGGATATTCTATACATTGATTGGTGTTTCAAAACTGTTAGAACATGCTTAAGCGGAAACTGGAGTATGCCTTCCTCACAGGTATAATAAATGACAATGAAGACATTTACTACAGGCCCAATAACTTGAATGCCTACCAAATCTAGGTTTTTATCTATAATATTTATTTATGTGTTTCAGTACTCTCTTTCTTGTATGTATATCTAAGGAATTAAGAATTAATAAATTATCATATTATTATATGAATATCGCCACAGACCAGACTGAGTTCTTTGTAGGATGTTTCCAGCCAATAACCTCGCTCTTGTCTGAGAGTCGCATAAATCAATTCAGTTCCACCCACCCACCTTTTCCACTGTCCTTGTTAAATAAACCTAGAAAGAAACACAATTCTTAGATCAGGACTTCATGATTATTATATGAAGCTTCGTTCAGTAAAACCAAACAAAATATGTTTGTTCCAACCCGAATTGTAGTTACTGGTATTTGTAGAAAAGTTTCAGGGTAAATTCTGAGTTGAGTAGTTTTACTTCAATTTACATCTTCAAATTTTTAAACTCTGCTTTTTACTTTTTTATGGACTTTTCATATTGCTATTGCCACACATTCTAAATGCACCCATCTAGTGATGCCTTCTGTCTGCAAAACTACTGTTCTTTCTTTAATATAATGAATGAACAGTAAATCATAATTTTTAATTCATAAACACTTCTTTGAGTTCTCAATTGCATTACCAACACCTTGACCCAAATCAATAACCTGTGTCATACTTAGCTATTCTGTAACATCTTGAACTTCCAACACTTGAAACTGTAAATTGTGGGAATGCCTAATGAGAGTTCACCTACTGACTTGTCACAGGCTTGGTGCTATGCTATAAATATTTTAGTACACAGTCAAAGGATATCGTTGCTTTCTTTTAATGCTGAAAAAGTTCATGCTCTTTGTAATAGGGAATTTAAGAACATGCTATGGTTTCTATTTCTTCTTGTGTTATATTATGGCAGTCTCATGTGATCTAGTAAAGGAAGTGTAGTTCATTTCGTTCTTCTATTCTTTCACGTGTGAATATGTCTTGGTTTTTCCAATAAATGTATTGAGTCAGTGTATGTAATGAAATTTGTTAAAAAATAAGTAAACTATTTTCCACATTGCTGGCAGTTGGAGATTAAATAATGAAGAGCTCCTGTTGAAGGAACAGAAAACATATAATAATACAAAATGAAAAGCAACATTTCTGATGTGCCAGTTTCCACACAGTCAGTGTCAAAGGAGAATCAATACATGTGGGAAGTATTTGTGAAGACCTGGCACCATTATCTGTCCATTACAACTATTCCGGGCTTACAGAATATCCATCACACATCAGGCAAACTATCGTCTTTTATCTGGACTCTCTTGCTTATTGTGGGTTTTGCATGTACAGTTCGAGACGTATATACTACCACTATAGAATACCTTGCTTACCCTGTAATAACATCTATGACAATGGACCAAGTGGTAGCTTTACCATTCCCATCAATAACAGTCTGTAATCTGAATCGTATTCATTGCACAAACCTGCGAAAACTTGCAGCCAAGCACTGGGGTACAGAGCTGGGAACACGCCTGCTGGAACTTCATATGCTCACCAGCTGTCATGTGGACTTTTCATGGACACCAGTCTATCACAAGAGAAAAGAAGAGTACCATGAACAACATACTACATATCCAGATGAAGATTCACGAGATACAAGACATTATCTTGAACAGGAGTTTGAGGAACTTACAACCACACCTGTTGAAGACAGCTCCATCTACACAAAAGTATAATTTAAACCTTGAATAATTATTTTACACTTCCAGTTGAAGGGTTATCACTTCTAAATAATTATTCTGTAGAATACTGCTACAAGGTTTGTAGACCATTACGAGATAAATATTTCACACTAACAAAATGACCCATTTTCCACCTGGCTTTTCCTTAAAACAAATTTTGCTGAAGTAACAAAATTGCTTATTTATTATTACACTCTTATAAATAATATTCTTATTGGTTAAAAGAATTAAATAATGAGGGCGGGGCTTACCACCGGCCATCACTCAGTCTTCGAGCTGTACCTCTTTCATGGTGGTGGGCCATACGTGCGGCACCGGTGGGTGGTAAGGAAATTTTACCATAACAAAGATACAAAAGTGGGCGGTAGGTATAAAAAGGTTGACAACCCCTGCATTAGATGGTGGGCATTATATTTATTTGTAAGCCATATACATCTATCTCAAAATAACCTCAGACCAGAGAACCACATGAGAAAACTCTGTAATTCAAAATAACTGTTAAATATCTATCAGTTATTTATAGTGAATGTACACAGTATAAAGTTATATCAAACTAAATAAGTGCTACATTACTAATAATTAATTCAGGCTGGATATTCTATACATTGATTGGTGTTTCAAAACTGTTAGAACATGCTTAAGCGGAAACTGGAGTATGCCTTCCTCACAGGTATAATAAATGACAATGAAGACATTTACTACAGGCCCAATAACTTGAATGCCTACCAAATCTAGGTTTTTATCTATAATATTTATTTATGTGTTTCAGTACTCTCTTTCTTGTATGTATATCTAAGGAATTAAGAATTAATAAATTATCATATTATTATATGAATATCGCCACAGACCAGACTGAGTTCTTTGTAGGATGTTTCCAGCCAATAACCTCGCTCTTGTCTGAGAGTCGCATAAATCAATTCAGTTCCACCCACCCACCTTTTCCACTGTCCTTGTTAAATAAACCTAGAAAGAAACACAATTCTTAGATCAGGACTTCATGATTATTATATGAAGCTTCGTTCAGTAAAACCAAACAAAATATGTTTGTTCCAACCCGAATTGTAGTTACTGGTATTTGTAGAAAAGTTTCAGGGTAAATTCTGAGTTGAGTAGTTTTACTTCAATTTACATCTTCAAATTTTTAAACTCTGCTTTTTACTTTTTTATGGACTTTTCATATTGCTATTGCCACACATTCTAAATGCACCCATCTAGTGATGCCTTCTGTCTGCAAAACTACTGTTCTTTCTTTAATATAATGAATGAACAGTAAATCATAATTTTTAATTCATAAACACTTCTTTGAGTTCTCAATTGCATTACCAACACCTTGACCCAAATCAATAACCTGTGTCATACTTAGCTATTCTGTAACATCTTGAACTTCCAACACTTGAAACTGTAAATTGTGGGAATGCCTAATGAGAGTTCACCTACTGACTTGTCACAGGCTTGGTGCTATGCTATAAATATTTTAGTACACAGTCAAAGGATATCGTTGCTTTCTTTTAATGCTGAAAAAGTTCATGCTCTTTGTAATAGGGAATTTAAGAACATGCTATGGTTTCTATTTCTTCTTGTGTTATATTATGGCAGTCTCATGTGATCTAGTAAAGGAAGTGTAGTTCATTTCGTTCTTCTATTCTTTCACGTGTGAATATGTCTTGGTTTTTCCAATAAATGTATTGAGTCAGTGTATGTAATGAAATTTGTTAAAAAATAAGTAAACTATTTTCCACATTGCTGGCAGTTGGAGATTAAATAATGAAGAGCTCCTGTTGAAGGAACAGAAAACATATAATAATACAAAATGAAAAGCAACATTTCTGATGTGCCAGTTTCCACACAGTCAGTGTCAAAGGAGAATCAATACATGTGGGAAGTATTTGTGAAGACCTGGCACCATTATCTGTCCATTACAACTATTCCGGGCTTACAGAATATCCATCACACATCAGGCAAACTATCGTCTTTTATCTGGACTCTCTTGCTTATTGTGGGTTTTGCATGTACAGTTCGAGACGTATATACTACCACTATAGAATACCTTGCTTACCCTGTAATAACATCTATGACAATGGACCAAGTGGTAGCTTTACCATTCCCATCAATAACAGTCTGTAATCTGAATCGTATTCATTGCACAAACCTGCGAAAACTTGCAGCCAAGCACTGGGGTACAGAGCTGGGAACACGCCTGCTGGAACTTCATATGCTCACCAGCTGTCATGTGGACTTTTCATGGACACCAGTCTATCACAAGAGAAAAGAAGAGTACCATGAACAACATACTACATATCCAGATGAAGATTCACGAGATACAAGACATTATCTTGAACAGGAGTTTGAGGAACTTACAACCACACCTGTTGAAGACAGCTCCATCTACACAAAAGTATAATTTAAACCTTGAATAATTATTTTACACTTCCAGTTGAAGGGTTATCACTTCTAAATAATTATTCTGTAGAATACTGCTACAAGGTTTGTAGACCATTACGAGATAAATATTTCACACTAACAAAATGACCCATTTTCCACCTGGCTTTTCCTTAAAACAAATTTTGCTGAAGTAACAAAATTGCTTATTTATTATTACACTCTTATAAATAATATTCTTATTGGTTAAAAGAATTCTACTTCATGTAGGTATGACCCACGTCTATTTTCATCAGCACATTGTTTTGACTTCTTCATTCCCCATTTCTAAGCATTGGAAAAGGGTGATTTCCACCACCAGTCACTCTTTTCTACTGTAAAATATCCAACAGTCTGTTTCAACAACTTATATGTCATTCTGAATATTATTATAGGGACATACAGGTTCTATAGTCAAGACTACATCAATACATATTTTTGTACATTGTTGATATAAAAAAATCCTTTTAATATGCCACATTTTTAAACAGCTGGTATGATATCCACTGACTAATATATTCCTTTCAGGGTCATTTTACACAAATTAACCTTTATCAACTGTGCCTCACTGTTTATGTGCAGTCCAGCTGGCCAAGTGTCACAATGACATACCACTAAACCATTAACCCCAGAGTTTAGAGTCTGGTTAGTATCCCCTTAGTACAGAGGTTTAAATCTCCTATTCCCATGCAGTAGAGATTAAAGAATAGTCCTACATTAGCTGTCACAAATTTAATCTTGTCCATGCATGGTATTAACAGTTACAGAAGGTTTCTAAAATTATAAATGAAGCGTATATTCCTTGAAAGAACTCACTAAAGCCCCAGCTTTCTGGTACAATTTTTACCCTGTCAAATTATTGAAAAAATAAATTAATTCCCCAAATTTTCACCTTTTAAAATCTTAGTTCACTTTCTAATTCTGCTTTAAGTGTCTCCTTTTCATTCAAAATGGTAGCAGACTGCTTATTTTTATGCCAGCATAGTGAACATCTTTCTGAAAACATGAAAAGTTGGTCATTGGTCTTGAAGAAAGTTCTTACTCCTTGTGTTAACATTTTGTATAGTTGAATTTATTTTATTGTTCTGACAACAGTCTAATAATGAGTCTTCCACTGAAAACACACCAACACACAAGCAGAGAGTGAACCAGACCCAGTCATTCAATGACCTGATGCACTTCCTGGCATTGTATACGAGCTTCTCCTCTGATATCAGGAAGCAACTTGGACATGATTTCAAGGATTTAATTCGCTCCTGCACCTTCAGTGGAAAATCCTGCTTAAATGAGACACTGTAAGAATATGATTTATAGAACTCACCTTTTATATATCAGTACCTATTATAAACAAGTTATAAAACTGCAAGTGAACATTGTCATCTTGTGTTTTAAGGGCTGGTCCAAAGACGTTTAGACGGAACATTCTGAGGTGCTTTTATGTGTTTCAAATACCGACTTTCAAAAAGTTTACTGTGGAGTACATTTTCTACTTATGACCTACAGGATAGATATATTTAGTCCTAAGATCTTGCTTTATACTCTCTGGGGTGCATTCCTTCAGAGGGGCATATGAAGAATCCAAGTAGGCCTGAAGTATTTTGGACTAAAATCAGTTTTGTTTTAAAAAAGACTACATGGATTTTTCTATGCAATGACAACTTATTAACAAATGATCACAAACTAAATGTTTTATTACCTTTAATTTTTATCATTCAATTTTTTAAGATTGCTGTATATTTAAAGTTAACGTGAATATTTTATATTATTTACCAATTTATATTTTATGGTTTTTAATATGTATTCAATATAAAACTAGGCATTCAGCTCTTTTACATAAATTAATAACAAGACAATACTAGACATTTGACAAAAGCCTTTAAAAACACATAAATCAATTTATGGAGAAGGAAGATAGTGTGCAGACTTCAGAAGATTAGAAGGGGTTGCCAGATAAAACATATTAGAACCACTTGTCTAAGGATATCACTGCTGTAACCCATGAAAGTGTTCAGTGTTTAGAATTAATTTGTACTAGAAAGTATACTATGACTTGGTACAAGAAAGAGTATATAATTCAACAATGTATTTATTAAATATGATATCTGACTCAAAATTGGAAATTCTGCATAGTGAAACATGGGCTCACCTCCCTAAGCAATGATTTTCATGATTTTACATCTTCATGTAAATTCACAATATTTCCCTCATCATTCACATTGCATTAAAACATTTTGCATGGCACCCATTAATGCTGTCTTCATAATTCAGTATTTATATTATTTAAGTGCAAAACTGAAGATGCCTAAAAAGAAAGATAAGGAATTATTGAAAACATGTTTTTGAAACTACATTATCTGATAAATGATAATTTATGTAAATTTTTGCAGATTCTTTAATCATGTCATGAATAGTGCATTTGGAAACTGCTACACTTTCAGTACAGACAGAAAAACTATCATTCCAGGTAGAGATTATGGTAAGTTTAATTAGTATAAGTACACTCTAACACAGAATTCTTCCTCAGCTGATCAAAAAATTCTGCACAACTCATACGGAGTCTAAAGGTTCATTGCCATGACCACAGGAGCCTGCCACTGGAACACAGCCTAAGCTAGAGGAATCCCATCCAGTCCTCATGTCCTGTTTCTTTGGGATCCATTTTTATATTATCTTCCCATCTCTGCCTAGGTCTCTCAAGTGGTTTCTTCCCTTCAGATTATCCATCTAAAATGTATGTGAGCTGCAGATCCTGCCCATCTCATTCTCCTTTATTTTATCGTCATAATAATAATAATAATAATATCTGAGAGACATATTTCATTTTGGTATAGATAATATCAAACATCACTGATTTGCTCAAAATGGTTCATAATACAATGAATTGATAGGCGTTAGATCTACAGTCTATAACTTTGTTTCAAACTCTTTTCAATGCAGTAAGTATTTAATAAACATAATAAAAATTGATTTCTGGCTTCTGTAACATTTTTAATGCAATTATATCCGCAATTTTAAATTGGTGTCTGTAATAAACGAACTATAGGCCAATTTAAAAAAAACGTGTAAGATTTGAGGTTTTCACAGCGGTGAGTATGAAGATTTTTGTCTTCTGGGTTGTTGCGCTGTGTAGTCTGGTCGATGTTAACCAACGTTTCAGAGGTTAACATCGACCAAACTACACAGTGCAACAACCCAGAAGACAATGACGGAGGCAGTATGACCTCTGAAACGTTGGTTAACATCAGACAGACTACACAGCGCAACAACCCAGAAGACAAAAATCTTAAAAAAAAAGTGTTTGGAAAATATGAATACTCTCCAGTCTGTATGTATCTGTAAGGATTGTCCATGGAACTTTATCTGGATCAAGAGAACTACCTGGGAGCAGGACTGAGCCCACAGGCAGGAGCTCGGCTTGTCGTCCATAGCATTGGTCTCCAGCCTCTGCCTGAAGAGAATGGCATTACTCTCTCTCCTCATGCTGCAACCAGCATTGCCCTGCTGGAGGTAAGTTCCTGTACACAAACGTCTTCTAGATATATGTAATGTAATGGAGGAGAAGTACCAGTAATTAAAACATGCAGTAAACTGTACATCTACTGATGACTAAATGAAATGCCTTTTTTATTTTCCAGTTTATCAGACTTTATCTTAGTCTTTTTATCTATCCTCATATTCTCAATTCTCCTGAATGTGTTAATTTTTAGCCTATTTGTTTTCTTAAAAATGCAGTCTTAATGAAATCGTCTGTATATCTGTGTGTGTTTCCAACCTTTCAACTTGTGAACAAACTTACAGAATTTGACAAAATAGGGTATGAATGTTTGCCATGGGAAACCAGTCCAACCACATACATTTTAACCTTATAGAATGAGTGATTAAAAGATGGTAGATGTGCAAACTTGTGAGGTGGAGGCAACAGACCACTTAATATAAAGCATTGAAATTATATACGGTAACAGATTTTGGAAAAAAAATTACAACTTTTGTTAAGATAATTCTTTATCATAGAATTTAATATGGTGGTCATTCAAAAATGTTTGTGTTATTAAAAATGTTTTATTTCAAACATTATCATATTAAATACAAACTGAACAGTTAATATTTAAATTCTAACCCCCTGCAGTGAAATGTCAAATTTAATGCTAATTCATACATAGTATTAACATTCTACACACATCATGGTTAATTTCTGTATCATAACAAATGTGTAAGCACAACAATGTATATATTTTAATTATAGATATCTTATTCTCATCCTTTAAATCAATCATTTGTATTTTAAAAGTGTGAGCCCTTGGGAACTTGTATTATTGAAAAATTAAGACCTAATAAAAATTTCCAGGTGCGGATTAAACGTCTGAAATTGCCTTATATAACCAACTGTTCTACCAGTTGGGATCATACATGGTACAAAGCTCGGGTGAACGGTGCTTTTGGTTACTCTTCAGAGGTAAACTAATAACATACCATACACAGTCTATTAAAATTATACTGGTGAGGAAGGAACCAGATTAAAACACTGACAGGCTTTCTAAACAAACTATAAAGCCTATCAGTGAATATCACACCTGAGTGAAAACTCCAGAAAAAAGAAAAAAATATTAACAATACTTTCACCAGTCCTTTAGCTTAAAAAAACTGAAATGTGAATAGAATGCGTCATGTTTCATCAGGCTGGGAACTGATAGGTGGGTTTATGTGAACATAGTTATGAACCTTTGGGTTAAATAAAGGGAAGGAAATTTCTTCATTAACTGACCAACTATAAGTTTCTCAAATACTAGTTTGCTCAATGGAGTTAATTTATTATTTATGGAATGCTTGATGCTTCCTTTTCTCTGTGTCTGTTAAGCCCCTGCTCCGAGTTGTAAGTGATTCTTTAAACACTTTTATGTAATGTAGAGAATACTTAATGAACTATAATTATTTGACATCGAAACAGTTTGCGATTCACAGTTTTCATTAAATTGACAGGATGAGAATGTATTGCCAGAACAAATTTAATTTATAATGATTAAAGCATAAACGTGCTCAAAACTTGAGCCACAGCTTGAAGAAGAGTGACTCTTGCATTGCTAGCATTAGATATCCTGACACAGGAGGACCTGGCACATCCACAAAATCAGCTTTCATTTAGAAATATAAGATAATACTGTCATGTTCAAATTGCAGCGATGCCAAAGGATATGCTTGCAGTTAGCTTTTGAGGAGAAATGCAACTGTTCACATCCATCATACATGGACCTGCCAAATGGATTTGGACCGTGTAATCTCACTTCAAGCAGTAAGTTTCCAGCAGTGGGCAAACAGTATTATTAGGAATGTTACACACTGTCATATATATTATGCAATAAACCAGTTTCAAACATCCCTGATATAATGAATGAGGAATTCAAGTTTTTAAAAAGTTGATACAGTAATGGTGTAGCAATATACTCCAACATACACATTTTTAATTACCCGAGTTCAAGATTATTAAAGTGCCATCCTCTTTCATCTACAACCTAACCATTTCTTCTTTTCTGAGTAAATTTTCAATATATGATATCAATTTCCCAAAAATTAAGTATCCACAAGTTACCAGATATTACGGCCAAGTGGCTGGCACTGCCACTTTATATTCAGGAGGTCCTGGGTTCAAATTATAAGCCAGATATAATGTGGAGGTTTTGTGGTTTTCCTCAGTCCTTCCAGGTCTTTTGGGTTGTAATACCATGTAAACTTGTAGATAGATACTAACGTTTTGTAGGAACATACTGCCTCCATCTTCAGGACTGAAGAGCCAATATTGGTTTTCTGGGTTGTGATGACATGTGGACTCATGCACAGATATCAATGTTTTGGAGGAACATACTACCTCCATATTCAGAAAGTATACTTACTAGTCCATATGTCATCACAACCCAGAAGATCAACAGACACAGTCAACATCTTCATGGCCATAGGAACTTTACATCACACAAATTCAACATGTATGTCACAAAGACTTTCATCTATTACACAGGCTTCTGTATGAACGTATATCTTCTAGTTTTGTCTTTACTAGTCATATCACGCAAGAATTAATGACAAACAGAATTTAAATAAATTATAAATACTTTCAGGTCCTGCTTATAGTTGTGCAACAGATGTCTTGGAAGAATTTGAAAACCAAAACAGGCTTTGCAGTTGCAACATGGATTGCATGTAAGTACTGGTTTCTTGCAACATAACTCTGATGGGATTATAATAGTTCATTCAATTACAGAATCATGTAATTGTACAAAGGACATAACTATATATTACAAGGGCTGAATTATCATGTAATGCTTGGTTGTAATTTTTGTGTCTGGAGATGGATGTTGTTGACATTCCAGAAAGCTGCCAAAACTTCTCAATGTTTCAGGGAAACCAGTTATGAAACCCAAATATCTACTGCAATGTGGCCAACAGACAATTATTGGGTATGTTAGTCTTATTTTAACCATTAATGTGTGTGAGTATTAATTAAAAGAACTTAATTAATTCACAAGGTCAGATGTTCTGGAGAGAGGCTTTAAAAATGCTTAGCATTCATTCATGAAAAATGACTACAGTTAATTTGAGTTTCCAATTTCAAAACATATATCATATTGACAATGATTAGAAATATATTTATTTGTAAGTACATTTCAGGGAATTTACTGGTCAATTAAATGTTCAAAATTTAATTGCTGTGTATGTGCCAAAGTACACCTGAGAAAACTACAATAACTCATATTGGTCTGCATACCAGGAAGATTACTAATACATTACATTTCCAAAATAAATTTGATATTTTGAAGTCACATAGAGTTAATCAAGAATTAATATTAATAAAATTCACTCTATTTAGGAGCACATTCTAGGAAAATGACAGCTTTAACTTAAGTTTTGAAAATTTATTTCAAATATTTTCAGTGCAATGTGGCAAGTAAATATTCCTTGATTGAGGAGTGTAATGTAGCTGACAGTGAGTATGGAGGTAGATTACACCATCAAGAGAAACTGAAGATTCAGAACAACCTTCTTAAAGTTGATGTTTACTTTGAGAATCTCCGGGTCAAGTCAGTTGATCAGAGTCCTACGTACAAGGTATGTTATCATGGTATAGCAATACTAATAAAGAA